AATTCATAAAAGCCGGAAGAATGACAGTTTCAAAAAATATAACTAGATCATTTGGCTAAGTCCTTAAATAACTCACTCGCCCTGATAAAATCAATTTAGGAAAGCCTACGAGCTTTGCCACATGTATTCCACACGATTCATCGGCAATTCCCTCAATTACTTCATGCGAAAATATAACTTTCCATCCCACTCCTTTATTTTTATACAAAAGCACTTTATATGATATAAATAATTACTTACTTTAGTAAGCTCGTGGTATGAGTTGCAAAACAGCTCAACACTTATTTACGTTGTGAACATGTTCTATTACCGCTTAAGCAATTGTAATCCATTATATACCCCTCGTACCTCTACCAATTTCATCGAGAATCATAAAGAACGGTCTGTGGTTTGATTTACTGTTATTGCTATTTCAATCATCTCTATCATAAAAGTAAAATAACCCGCTGCTATGTTATCTGTTGCGCCAACTCTACTGAATATTTTGTCAATTGCTCCAATATGTGTGCTTTTTACGGGTATAAATGATCCCACATGAGCTTAAATTACAATCAAAGCTTTGTCTTAAAGGTGTTTTTCTAGCCATATTAGGTCCTGTAATTAAATGTATACCAGTCAAGTCAATACTATTGGAATAAATTATTATTTGCTTCAGTTATAGGATGCATGCATCCTGGGAATTAAATTCCCTGCTGTCATCAATAACTGGTCTCACGTATTTATTTCTCGCAGCAAGTTCTGCAAATGCAGTTCTGATATCAAGTTTTGATAAAGCATTTGCAGCAAGGGCGATTTTCAGATTCTTCAGCAATTTTGCTGCATAGAGCACCAAAAATTGTAATTTCCAAATTAATTGGAGCATCACGTGCAGTAAGGATTTTATTTTTAACTCTTTAATTCGGCGGTGTTGTACGAGAACTGCTTGCCAAGCCTTGTCTATGAATAAGGATATACGAAGTCATCTTATGATTCGATGAAGCTTCGATGTAGTAGCCAAGTATGTTGTTATGCAGTATTTTAAGTGTTGCAATGTCAGTAAGATCGCGATAGGAACTACGTAGCTTAATTATCAACTTATTACCGTTATTTAACATATAAGACAGCTCAGATAATTCTGCATTATAATTCGGATCAACAAATCCACCTTCTTTTACATTGCTGACGTTATTATCCAGAATAACCTTGTTAAGAAATTCATACACATCTTTGTAATCACCTAGGCTTTTGTATATAACTTCCAATTCATTTTTGCTTGATTTCACTGCATACAGACACTCAGATAACTTTAAAATTTTGTGAGCCTATCTTCAATAGATTAATATCTTTAGGCGAACCACTTCCTAGCGTCAGAGATGATAATGGTCTTTCGATATCTCACATGCTAGAGAGTATCTCTCTTATTTTTCCACGAAACTCGTGTTTGTACACAAAAAACTTAACGGTATCAAGTCTTGAGTTAATTGCCTTAGGAAAACCAGCGGTGAAGAAAGCATCTGCTTTAATAGACGCCCGCCAGGCGCTGTCACCGCATGATTAACAACTGAAATTAAAGAGCTTTTTTTATTAAGTTGAGTTAAAAATAACTCTAAATTTCATCCTTGATGAAGCATCAATAAGTATAAAATGCTATTGCTCGTAAGTTTTAGGAAATTCAAGCCTAGGAACAGAACATCTTGTGTTACTTTTACGTATTCTAACAAGGCACCGCATGCCATAACTTCCACTTTGTTAAAATTGCCTATAATTTTAAATTTCTTAACTTTACAGAACTCGCATAGAGTTCTATGAGATCTATTATATTCAAAATAATTCTGCGCATGCTGCGTGATTAATATCTTATAATTCTTTAAAATTAACCTAATTTCTTCTTCTGCGGTCATTTTTCGGAAATCAGTAACACCCTTGGTGAAATACGCAATAAATCACTATCTAATGTCTTGAGACTTACAGAAGAATAAAAGAACTTTCCTGTGGATAATTCACGCCAAGCAACTGCATATTCGCCATCTTTCTCGACAATAGATGCAAGATAACTATTGTCTTATCTTCTAATAGCGAACCTTCAGTAATTGTTCCCGGGAGTTAAATTCTTACCACATCATGTTTTACTATAGATTTATACTTTTTTTTTGCTTCATCTGTTGTTTCTGATTGATCACAGATTGCAACTTTCAATCCTAAATTTATAAGTTTATGCAGATAAGATCTGCTACTATGAGCGTGCACATAATACATAGGTATATCTTTGCCGTTCGAGTTACCTCCTTTGGTTAAGATTATATTCAGCAGTTTTGCTGCTTGAATAGCGTCATCAAAAATAGTTCATAGAAATCTCCAAGCCTGTAAAACAATAAATGATCTTTATACCGAGCCATTAAATTCAAGTATTGCTCCATTACAGGAGTTGCTCTTTCTTTTGTTAAATCCACAGTATTCTGTATTAGCAACGAACAATCATTGTTGTAAACATATTATATAAAGTTATAAATAAGTTCTTAAGGAAAGTATTTTAATGTTAACATCTGAATAAACTCTATAACTCCATCCTTCATTTCTGTTTTTTTAGTATTATTGGCCATGTTATATAATTTTTTAGGATTATTTAATAAGTCGACTAATAATTTCGTTAGATTTTCTTTTGTTTGACTATTCTGCTCGACTATTATTGCTGCGTTCGAGCTTTCAATATGCTTTGCATTATAAAATTGATGATTATCTTTTGAGTGAAGATATGGAATATATATAGCAGGACGTCTAGAAAGGGTGATTTCTGCTATTGAAGTTGCTCCGGCTCTACTAATTACTAGATGTGAACTAGCTAATTTCTTTCCCATATCATCAAAAAATTCGCTTAATTCAAAATTGATTTCTTTGTTCTGGTATTGATTCTCAATCTTACTTATATTTTTCTTTGTAGATTGTTGCGTTACTTTGATTCTAGACTTCAGTGTTTGAGGTAAATCACAGATGACACTACTTATTACATCATCAAAAAAGTTCGCACCTTGGCTACCTGCTATTATTAATATATTGAAATATTCCATGTCATCTTGTACTTCCAATACTCTATCACCAATAAAATTTCCAATAAAAACACATTTATTTCCCTGTGCATACTTAGTTGCTGGAAAACTGGTTGCAACAAGCTTTGCACTCTTAAAAAAAAATCTATTTACCCCTCCAAGTACCGCATTCTGTTCATGTAAAATTATAGGTATTGAAAGAATTTTTGCCGCAAGAAGAGTCGGGAAAGATGCATAACTACCAAACCCAATAACTAATTTGGGTTTTAACTTTCTTATATGATATAGTGCTGATATGCAGCTACAAAACAGTAAGAAAAAAAATTTAAGCTTATGAATACTTGGTTTGCATAATGGCAGCACACAATTCTCTATACCACTGTTTCTACTTATCTGCCTGTCAGTGAATAATATGCATTTATAGCCTTGAATTTTTAATGCTTTTTTTAAGGTGATAGCCGGAAAGATGTGCCCACCTGTCCCGCCAGTTGCTAGAATAATATCCATCTGTAAAATAACAAACCAATACCTGATTATTCACTACCATGTAGTAATTTGCACGTACAAAATTGTGAAACCATATGATGGTTGAAAGTTTAAAGAACAGTTAACTACCAATGAGAGGGTAATTAGATTTGCGTTAATGTCATGTGCAGCATGCACTATACTTAGTATATAATATAATTTAGGCGGTACAATATGTTATGCGAACTTTTCGCAGTAAATAATAAAGGGCCAGAGAAACAAACAATTCTTTCGCAAGAAGAAAAAGAGCGTTATAGCAGGGATTATTATGGATTAATTACAAACTTATATTTATCTGCTTTTAATTCGACTTATAAGTACGAACCTGAAGATCAAGCAATACTTAAGTGGCGTCTTAAGGCAGATAATATAAAATTGTCAGATAGTTAAAAAAGTTAAATAAAGCACTTCTTGACTTTATCTATAGCGGTAATATATCAGCTCTCGGAGGACTTTTAACCAAAAATAATGATGAAAATACAACTTATATTTTAGATTCCTTGATAGAGAGAATTAGTAAGCTAGAAAAAATCATGAAATTGCTAACCATATAATATGTAAGTTGATATCACAAGGAGCAGGATTAGATAACAGAAATAGTGTAAAATTCTTTGATGAACAAAAATTAAAGCATGGTGGATATATGGGCTTAATCGAAGCTCATGACAAGCATTTAAATCTTAATCGGGAGTTTGTGAAGATATTAGAAGGTACTGCAATTAGTGGTAATTAAATAATGCAATGGTGGATAACACTATTTTTGCCTAAAATAGGTAAAAGATAACAAAATAGATGTTGTAAAGATCATAGATGGAGTAAAAAGTTTAGGATTAGCAAATGGAAATATAGCATGTAGAGAGGAATTATATTAATCTTGAAGACAATAGTGATATAGTATTAACTTTCTGTACTAGCGCAGGAGAATTAAAAGTTAGATTATATACTAATACAAAAGTATAAATCTAGTAAAAGTAGAAGTTATGGATAAAGAGACACTATCAAGGTTAAAAGATCCCAATGAAAAATAGGTGTTAACTGTTCGCTAGGAGCGATATCAGCAAATGAAGTCAAGCAAGGATTCTTTGTCAGAGCTGGAGAATTTCAAATCCCTGAAGTAATACATGCGTATCAAAATCCTCAAGAAGAAGAGAAGAAAGGAAATGATGAACAATGGCAGAATCTTGCAAAACAGCAGCAAAAACAAAAAATCTCTAGAAGAAGGCAAGGAGGGAAATGATAAGAAATGCCAAAGTATTATAAAATAGTCACCACAATAAAATCCTCTAGAAGAAGAAAAGATAGGAGATAAAAACAATGGCGAAGTCGCCTAGAACAGAAGATAGTATAAACCATTGATAAGTGGTAGACCTCTTGAAATGCAGGCGGGCTTGTTCAAAGTTTGCCTGCATTATTAGATAATTTTTTCAACGCACTCTGGAATCATATACTTAAAAAAGTGTAGATCTGAAATGAGAAAGGGAACGTGCCTGGAGGGATTCGAACCCACGACCCGCAGCTTAGAAGGCTGCTGCTCTATCCAACTGAGCTACAGGCACGCATACATATAAAATGCTTCTAAAAAGGCTTAAAGTCAAGATATTTCATGTAAAATGCAAGAATATACCTTGTGTCTCTTGGATGTGTTTTAGGACTATAGACAAGCTTTGACGCCAAAATTACTATCAAAAATAGGTTTTTCAAGATGTCTAATTTCTTTACAAAAGCAATACTAGACTTATTGCAAAACTTGTTATAAAATTAAACCTTATATATTACAATTGTAATTTTACAAAAAATGGCAATGAGATTTAAATCAATACGCAATATCGCAATTATTGCTCACGTTGACCACGGCAAAACTACTTTACTTGATAATATGTTAAAACAAAGTGGTACATTTCGTAAAAATCAAGAGATTCAAGAGCGAATAATGGATAGTGGCGATCAAGAGCGCGAGCGAGGGATTACTATACTTGCAAAATGCACATCAATTATGTGGAATGAAGAAAAAATTAACATTATAGATACTCCAGGGCACGCAGATTTTGGTGGAGAAGTAGAAAGAGTATTATGTATGGCAGATGGAGTGTTGTTGCTGGTCGATGCTGCAGAAGGTCCAATGCCGCAAACTAAATTTGTGTTATCGAAAGCGCTAAATGCAAATTTAAGGCCGATAGTAATAATCAATAAGGTTGATCGTCCCGATAGTAGAGTCGATGAAGTGTTGAATGAAATATATGAACTGTTTTTTAATCTAGATGCAACAAATGAACAGTTAGAATTTCCTGTGTTGTATGCGTCAGGGAGAAATGGTTGGTGTGCTAAAGAACTTTCTGATGAAAGGAAAGATTTAGCTCCTCTATTTTCAACGGTTTTGGACTATGTAAAACCTACTAGTTATGACCAAGATGCACCATTTGCTATGTTGGTTACATTAC